GTCGAGGATGCTGACCTCCTTCTTGGGCTGGATCGGATCCTCCTTCTTCTTCACCTTCCGCAGCTGCACCTCGTCCAGGAAGCTGCTCCTCCTCCTGGGCATCTCTTCGCCGTCCCTCTGCCTCTCCTTCTCTTCGCTCGCAGCTTCCTTCTCCCGCTTGGCCTTGAGCGCCTCTCTCTCCCGCCTCTCTTTCTCTTGCTGCTCCCGCTCTTTCTTCAGCCTCTCTCTTTCTCTGTTCTGCTTCTCTTTCTCCATTTCGCGTCTCTCTCTCTCTTGCCTCTCCCTCTCCTGCTGTTGCTTTTCCCTCTCCTTTCGCTGCCTCTCTCTCTCATTTTCTTGCCTTTCTCGCTCTCTCTCCTGCCTTGCTCTCTCTCGCTGTTTCTCTCTTTCTTTCTCTTGCCTCTCCCTTTCTCTTTCTTGCCTCTCTCTCTCTTGCTGCCTCTCTTTCTCCTTCTGTTGCCTCTCTCTCTCCAGCTGCTTCTTCCTCTCCTGTTCTTGCTTCTCTCTCTCCTTCTGCTGCTTCTCTCTCTCCTTCTGCTGCTTCTCCCTCTCTGCTTCCTGCCTTTCCTTCTCCTTCTCCTTCTCGTTCTTCTCCTTCTCCAGCTTGCCCTGCTGCTTCAGGATGAGGCTCCTCCTCTTCTCCTTCTGTTCGTTCTCGTCCTGGATCTTCGACTCCCACCTGTTCCTCAAGGAGCTGATGCTGAGCTTCTCCGGAGGCTTGTTCTCGTCCTCCTCCGCCTCGTCGGCCTCGTCCCTCTCTCGCCTCCTCCGCGGGAAGAGGGAGGAGGGGGTGGTCGGGCTCCTGCCGTCGCTGAGGTCGTTCGAGGCGTCTCCGGCGGGAGGGATGTGCAGCTTCACCATCTTCTCTCTCTTGGGCTTGTTCGAGGGGCCCCTCTCACCCTGCTGCTCCTCGAGGTACAAGGCGTCGCGCTTTCGCTTGTCCTCCATCGCGAGGGGCCTCTGGCGCTGCTGTTGCTGTTGTTGTTGGTAAGATTGTGGGCCCGGAGGGTGGTTGGGGCTTGGCTGGTGGGAGGGAGGGAGGGTAAGGGTGAACAATGCGTGTAAAGAGGGCCCATCAACACCAGAAAGAAGTGGCTCGGGTAGAGTCGAGGGGGGGGGGGCGTAGGAGGGAGGGGAGGGGGGGCTAAAAGAACCTGAATCATGCGCAGATGATTCATGCAAGTGGGACTAAGCTAATCTTTCTATCTCATGCACTTGGCTTCAATAAAGGCTGTCGGGGTGGGTCATTTTCACTGGCAAATATAGGGCTAAGCTACCAGGAAACACACTAATAATGACGTGCATGAACTGTAACATTGAGAAGGACAGAGCTACAAGAATGTACTATAAAATGGTAACTGTTTTTTTTTTTTTCTTTTTTTTTCTTTAATACACTTCAAGTGGTCAAGTTCACCATCTGTTGGGCAAAGTACATCAATCATTCATCTTGATGGTGCGGCACTAACTAATCAGCAATACATATGGCTAAATTAAACGACAAAAGAATACAAGGGATCTCGCTATGTGGCACCGCAGATCGAATGAATGGGGTACATTGCACAAGACCTACATAAACAGTCAAAAGCAAATACAAGTATACCCACACACCCTACACATAACACACAGGAACCCACACACAAAAATACACACCCAAAACGCACAGAATCATACGCAGACATACACACAAAACCCGCGAACACATATCATAAAAGAGTGTCTATATAAAGCTTTCTTGTTAGACTTCAGAGCTGCTACGGAGATGGAAGAAGAAGAAGAAAAGGAAATATAAATAAAGAGAAAGAAAAAAAACAAACGAGAGATCTCCTAATTAACAACTCTGAACTATAACGAGCCAACTAACCAGCTCTAAATGTCTCATCCGGTGCTGCGTGTCTAACAAGAGTCCTTTGAGTATTTTTGAAGGATGGAAAGGTGACAAGGAAGGAAGGCGGAAAAAGAGGGAGGAGAAAAGGGGAAGAAAGAGACAGAGAAAGGAGAAGGAGGAAGAGAGGAAAAGGGGTGAGGGAAGGAGGAAGGATAGAAGAATCGAGAAGCGAAAGGAGTGAGAGGGACAAAGTGGAATGGGAAGAAACAGAAGAATGAAAAAGTTAAGAGAAGGGAGGAGGAGGAATGGGATGAAAAGACGAAGAGGAGTAGGCGAAGAAGGAGAGGAAGAGGAAGAAAAAGGAAAATGAAGGGAAGGGACGCATAGGAGAATGAAAAAAAAACGAGGAAAAGGAAGAAAAAATGGTAAAGAAACGAATAAAAGAGGAGAGATGGACCGAGAGAGGGAAGAAGAGGAAGAACAAGATAAGAGAGAGGATTATGGGCGCTTACCTGCTGTGGGAACTGCTGCTGCTGCCTCTGCTCGGGTGGCAAGGGGGGAGCGGGGGTCCAGGTCTGTCGACACAGATAAGTGTGCTACTTACAAGGGCGTGGCATCTAGTGTGGCGCGTCCCTGCCAAGGGCTAATTATAAGTGCAAAGTGGTGTGGTGTCTT